TAGTTTGACCTAATCCAAAAAGATAAACATGCATGAAAAACACAAACACAATGCACACTTGCACCCCTACGGTTTCATCCACTTGTTGCCTTCAAAAATGGGCCATGGTTGCATGTTGAGTACTTTGGCAAAGCAAAAACAAACAAAAAAGATCATAGTCCCTCGATGACGCTATCTGAGTTGCCTAAACAAAAATGATCAAGTCCCTCAATAAAAATTGCCAAAGATACTTGACACTATTGCTATCATGGGTCTATACGATGACTCGCGTCTGTCCCGTTAACATCCTAACACAAGGTTGTTCACCAAATACAATGGTGAAACAACACTGTTAAAAGGGTTAAAAACATAAGAAAGATCTTTGAGTAAAATAGGGTAGATAACTCTTAGTTACTTGATCAAACTTGCAAAAACATCCTTGCTACTTTTTCAAAACACACTCCACAACACAAATTCAAAACCCTACTTTCAAACATTGAAAACCTCCCAAAAGACAAAAACACCTTTGTATACATTCAAACAAGAATCATTACAAAGGTTGCCACAACGATGGCCTCTTTTTCAAAACATTTTCCAAAATCACACACAAAGCACCATTTCAAACAATTGAAAAGCACCATTTCAAACAATTGAAAAAGCAAATCAAGTGATCTAAGCAAGTAACTAAGAGCCCATGGATAACCATGGATAGAAAGGGTGCTAATACCTTCCCTTTCTATAATCTACTCCCCGAACCCAAGAAAATATCTCAAAGGTCTTTCCTGTGCTTTTTGACCTTTCCTTAGGATAAAATAAAAAGTCGGTGGCGACTCTTGCTAAACCGAAACATTTGCAAACACAAACGCAAACACCCAAGTCAGTTCTCCCACCGTATCACACATGCATTTTACAATATCACACCCCCCCATTGGCTTCAGAGTCAGGCTCAATTTTATCTTTTTTTCTTCTTTTTGTAGCCTTTTTTATTATTTATTTTATATTTTATTTTTAAAACCTTTTTTATCAAATCATAAAGTCAAAATAATAATAATAATGATTAGACTTAGGATTTTTTCTAAAATTAATTTTAATTTTTTGTAAACTAATTAACTTAATTATTATGACTTGTTTTAATTAATTCAAAATCAATTAGAATTAGGTTTGTTTAATTCAAATATTTTCTTAATAAAAATGCAAAAAATAATAGAATTAGTTTTTCTTTTATTAGAGTTAATTTTAATTAATAATCAATTTTTACTTTTATTTAATTAATTAGGATTATATTAAAATAAATAAAAACCAAAAAGATTTTCTTTTACTTAGCACTTTTTTTTAGGGTTTTAGACGTCTCTTTCCATTTTGCACGCGTTATTTATTTTTGCACTTTTTTATACTAATGTACCTGCTGATGGAATGCAATAGAATTAACTAGGGCTTTAATTGCTTTCTTTATTTTCCCTAAAAGTTTGGACATGTAAATACCCCCTCCCCCAAAGCCTTGTAATAGCGTAGGATTTACGATTCCCGCACTTTAAATTTCTACAAAATATTAACTATTAGTAACTAGGCTTGTATGGAAAGACTGAAAACAAAACACTAGTAAACCTAATAACACAAGACTAAAATAACTGAACATAGCACACTTGGACATATACACCCTCTAAGGTACGGCCACTTTGGTTGCCTTTCGAAAAATAAAACAGTCATATCCCTCGAGAATAAAGACACTTTAGAAAAGGCCTTTAAATAAAAAGATCATAGTCCCTCGATGACCCTACAGTGTTGCCTTTCGGTAAATGATCTAGTACCATAAACAAAATTGCTAAAACATCTTTGTATGTTTCCTTTATAATTGTACGTACCTTTTAATGTCCCTCAAACATCCGAAGATGGGGCTACCTACTCACTAGTAGTAGGATAGCACTATCTATAGGATAGGAGGAAAAGAACAAACCTTTTTGAGTATAAGTAGATAATTCTTGGATGCTTTCTCAAAACAAACTTTTGCACTTACATAAAACATTTCAAAACACTTACAAAAACTCTTTATCAACACTCTTGAGGACTGATACAAGAGTTATCATAAAGCGAATTGCCGCACTATAGGCATTTTTAAACTACTTTTTTTTTCAAAAAAACACAAAGCACAAGGTATTTCAAAAATGAGCTAAGCATCTAAGAACCCGTAAAAAATACGGATGGAAAGGGTTCTAACACCTTCCCTTTCCATAATCTACCCCCCCTTACTCAGAAAATTCTCGAAAAGGTCTTTTTCTATTTCTTTTCACCCTTTCCTTAATTTGGATAAAAGAAAAGTCGGTGGCGACTCTTGCTTACCGCAAAATTTGCTAACACAAAATGCAAAACCAGTTTAAACAGTCGGTTCTTCCACCGTATTACAGGATGCTTTCGAGGAAATTCTTTCCTTAATCATTTATGGTCTTGTAATTTTCCTAAATGTTGACCATTTTGTTGATGTTGATGTTATCTTCATATTCTTGATT